GTTCTCGAGAAACCAAATGGGATAACCTTTCAGAATTAAGAACTGTCAATAGAATTGGCCGACCGATGGATTATAGGCAGAAATATCGGCTGACATTTTGGGATACATCGACCACCTACTGCCTACAATGGTAGTTTCTATATCAAAATTTAAATCAAAACATTAGAAGGAATCGACTGCCGGTTACAGCGCACCATAAAGCGACTTTCAGTCTATGACCAAAGGCATTGTGAAAGAAGTGTAACCTTTACAACGTTGCGTATAGTTTANCTACTTATTGACCTTAATTGGTCAATGAGTAGTTGGCTTCCGATGGGAGAACTCTGGGGAGGACGGTATACGACTCCAAGTAGGAGTGTGGCTAACATTGAGAGTTTGAGCTTAACCCATAAAGTATCTATTGGGCCTATTGGGTCGACTGAAATAAGAAAAGGAGGAGGGAGGGCGCGACTAAAGTAAGCTATGACACCACCTGCTCTACCCCGAGCTGAGTCTGATCTTAACAATGTAAAGCCGGGAATGGAGATATCCCCGTCTAGAACATTATCTAGAGCCAGGTCTCGGTTAGGGTGATGACATGGGGGCATTGCTCTGAGGTAAGATGCTTTAGTTCAAGAACTTTGTTTGGGAGGTTAAGACAGTTGCTAGAAATGCATTTAAGTATGCGTCCATCAAAGTCCTTGAGTCCGTTAGGGAGAAAGGCGGGACCGGTTGAGCAGTCGGAATTGACATTAGAGGTTGTCGAAGTACGGTTTGAGCGTACGTTGGTTGAGGGGCTATCTTGGTAAGGTATCTCACCATCGGCGGGGCTTTCTTTATCAGCCTCTCTGGCGGGCGACCTGTCGCGCCCTTCGTCCGAAAAATTGCTCTGCTGTTGCCGTTATCGAGCTGGGAGGGTACACTGCAGGAACAACCATTCANAGGGCTATCTTGGGAAGGTATCTCACCATCGGTGGGGCTTTCTTTATCAGAACTTTATCAGAACTGAACTGAGCCTCTCTGGCGGGCGACCTGTTGCACCCTTCGTCCGAAAAATTGTTCTGTTGTTGCCGTTATCGGGCTGGGATGGTACACCGCAGAAACAACGGTGATAAGGCGTTACTTCTTTGAGTATGAAACACAGTCTCAATTATATAATATAGAAAGACCGGCAAATTAGATTCATGAACATTTATTAGTCATCGTTGCATCATTGATACGGTCCTGGATACAAACTGGATTTTGTTTTAATTTTCTCCGCCAACCAAAACCGAGGCGGATTTGGACTGTGTCTGGCTTTTGTTACCTTGCTCTGTTGCGATGAGCAAAATACCTCGGAAAGGTAAGTTGTATCACGGTTTACCTCGTGATGTTGTTGCTCAATGACGAAATTTTTAATGGGAAATGTTTTTTTATTAGTAGTGGCTTTGCAAAACAAAAAGAAAAACAAAGCCAACAAGAAAAATATGCCGAAGGAAAAGAATCCTGTCTCCAAATGGTAAGTCCTCCAAAAGGTTTTTGTTGTTGCATCGAATGGGTCGTCGAGTTTGCTAGAAGTAACGTTTCGGTCTTTTTTTGGCAGGTAATGGCGCTCAAGCTTTAGCGATGTGTAACTGTGACAACGCCGGTTAAACCTGGTGTATAGTGATGAATAGTAATTAAGTTGTTAAAAAGGTTTACATAGTAGATTTTCCGTGTTATGTGTTGACTTGGTATTCGTCACTCCGTCGCGTATATATATTGGTCATTAGATGGCATGGAAAGCAAATGAACGATTGTTCGGCAGGCTGCCGAAATGCCTTTACGCCGGGAGCTTTCTCCAACTACCTTGACGAATCCTATACCATCTGTGCGCGACTTTTCCTCAAATTGCATTAAATAATTCGGCTTTTGATGCTTGCCTTAGTTTGAATTCAGTAATTAGATTCATCTCCGGTTTCTTTATCAATAAACTAGGACTATGGTCCTAGTTGGTTATTGTACAATACATTCCCCATTTATTTCCTATGATGCGTTAGTGAGTGAACCTTTTGTGTTCCTTCCAGCAATGGAGCTGTCCAACCGCCTACACAACCGACTGCCATTCAAAATTCGGATCCTGATGTCGAGTACGGAGATCATTTGCGCGACGAGGATAATATAGAGGAAGGAATCCTGGGGAGTGATGATGACGAACAAGAGGACCCAAAGGACTATTGCATAGGTTCGAAAATTCTCGCATTCACCTTAGGTTTTCAGGTGGATATCATCCTGTAAAAATCGGTCAGTTGTATAACGCTCGCTATCACGTTGTGCGAAAACTTGGCTGGGGTCATTTTTCCACGGTGTGGTTGTGCTGGGACTTGAAGTAAGATTTATTTGAGTTTATGTGATTTCTGCAGTCTCAAGCGTTTTGTGGCTATGAAAGTAGTCAAAAGTGCTTCGCACTATAGAGAAACTGCCCTGGACGAAATTAAGCTACTAACTTGCGTAAGTTTGTCAAAACTTATATAAACGGTCTTTAGGTTCGCGAATCAGCACCGGATGATCCTTTCAGAAACAAGACAGTGCAGCTTCTTGACGACTTCAGAATCTCAGGTGTGAACGGACAACGTATCCTTTTTGTGAATAAGTTCTGTGTAAATACCATCCGGTTTGTAAATAAAGTAGTGCTGATCATAATTTTCTCCCAACGCATCGTAAGGTTTTAGTGTTGGATCCCGTTTCACAACGTACAGTGTCCGGTTCAAACAACCATTACCCCGTACAATAGTACTCAGTTTTGGTTACTGTCTTTCGATAAACCAACTGACAATCCAATCAAGATTGGATAAGACAAGGGGCTCATGGTTATTGGCACGATCGGATGCGTGATTTCCTGAACTGAATTCGTCCTCGGTGATACTATGTACCCTTGAACTTTGTTCTCAGAAAATCGCTGCCCGCAGTAAACTGCGCTCCCAGCATCTCGCTTCATTCCTGCATGATTGTTTGGATTCGTTCTTATGGTTTAGATATGTATCCGATCACCAACCAACCGCATTCTCGGAATTGATGATTTATCTGGTAGCTATCCTTGCTGTTTTGCTGTGATGACTTGTTGCTTTCCTTTAACTGTATTTCTCCTCAAGATGTGTGCATGGTGTTTGAGGTGTTGGGACACAACCTATTGAAACTAATAATTCGATCCTCATACCGTGGTATCCCTTTGGAGAACGTGCGATCAATCATTAAACAAGTAAGTACGGTTCCTCCTACACCCTAAAGACGATAATCGTATAGACAACGTGAATTCCCTTTTTTCCCGCACTACCCTACCATCCGGCTGTTGTGGACACTAATTACGGTGTAATTTTTAATATTGAATCACCTGTATGAGTGTGCTGAAAATCCACACAATTGGTCTGAATAGTGCAGACAGCCCGGGATTCAACATTTATTCAATAAATAATTTGATACGGACCGAAATTGTACAGAAACACGATAACAAACAAATCTCGATGTGACACAAACAATTTGCTGTGGCATTCCCCAACCTTCGTTTAATTTTTTGTCTTCAGTACCCAGCCCCCCTTTTCCCCTTGTTCCGACCTGTAATAGTCCCTCAGGCAACTTGGATGTCGCTCGCCAAAGGTCGTTGTCAAATAGCACTGTAAGTAATGTATCTCGAAACGAATTGCAAATTGTATAGCCTTGTCAATCACTGGATCTGGGGGCTTTCAACGTGAGGACCCTGATACAGATAGGTCAACAACTTTGTCTGGCGCGTATAATGGAATTATTGGGGATCGATATTTGCTGCGTGTCGGAGACTCGTATCCAGGATCCTATTACTCTAAGTCACTTGAGCGCACCAGATATGTCCTTCGTACATCAGGCGACGAAGCCCGCTCAGTGGGTCAGCGTGGGGTAGGTATTGTACTCAGCAACAGGGCGGAGTCCTCTCTAATCGATTAGATTCCCTTCAGTCGTTTATGTGCAGTGCACCTCCAGGGTTCAATCACTGTCTGGAAGGGAAGCAACATCAGGTGTTTGTTAATCGTTAATCGGCTTATGCACCGACCAATTGCAGTTCTGATACGCAAAATGGCGCTTTCTACGATGAACTCCCCTATCTCATTCGGATGAGTCGAAGCTCCGACATGGTTGTACTTTCAGGTGACTTCAACGCACAGGTTAGAAAACGGGGCGCATCAGAAGCTTGCCTAGACAGTAATTGTGCTATGCCCGATCAACGAACAGATAACGGTGATCGACTCCTTCAGTTCTGCGCAGACCATCATCTGTTCCTATCAAACACCAACTTCTGACAGCTCTCGACGGGCGGCAACGTGGCACTCCAGTTTAACTGGTGCGTTAACTCAAATCGACAACATAGCAGTAAGTTGCCGTTGGCTTGGCTCAGTGCGAAGTTGCAGGTCCTATTGAACCACCTGCGTTGAGTCTGACCGCGCATTAGTTTTGATGCAGTTCACTCTTCGGTTGACTGGTCGACGACAAAACCAGCAAACTGGGATATCTCACCATCCACTCTGTTCCAGCCGTTCGTGCACGCTATGAGTCAGAACTAGTGAGTGAGCTAAGCGCGCCTCAACGTGATGGTGTAAGTGAGCAGTGGGATCAGATTAAGCGAGCAATGCATTCCGCTGTAAATGTTGCTTGTGGGACTGAGCCTCAAGCCCTACGGAGGCATTGGATATCTGATGAGTCTGTAGCAATGATGGACCAAAAACGACAAATCCCGACCAGCCAGGATCAAAACAAACTTGGGTGGCATCTACAACGTCAGCGCACGAAGAGCACCAAGAAGGACCGTGAGAACTGGTGGGCAACAATAACTAGTGAAATCGGCTGCGGCTGCATCAGGGACTACTCGAAGACTGTTCCGACTGATACGCAATACGGGAGGTCGGCAAACTCCAATTAGTGAAACAGTCGGCGATAAGAGGGGACAAGCTATTCACAATAAGGATCAACGACTTGATTGCTGGGAGTCGTGCTTCAGCGAGCAGCTCAATTTGCCTGTCGCTAGCCATGTTGCTCCTGCAACTGAAACTCCGTGGGCAGTGTTGTGCGATCCTCCAGCATCAGGAACAGATCGGTTTTGCATTCAAGATCAG